ATGAATACACAGCATACCCAGACTTGTGGGACACAATGAAAGTCGTGCTCAGAGGAAAGTTCACAGCACTAAGTGTCTACATAAAAAAGCTGGAGAGATCTCACACCAGCAACTTAGGAACACCTAAAAGCTCTAGAACAAAAAGAAGTAAGCACACCCAAGAGGAGTAGACAGCAGGAAGTAATCGAACTGAGGGCCAAAATCAATAAAATAGAAACAAAGAGGACAATACAAAGAATCAATGAAACAAAGAGTCGATTCTTTGAGAAAATTAACAAAATAGACAAACCCTTATCCTAACTAACTTAAAGTCACAGAGAGAATATCCAAATTAACAAAATCAGAAATGAAAATGGGAACATAATAACAGATACCAAAGAAATCCAAAGAATCACTAGGTCATATTTTAAAAGCCTGTACTCCACAAAATTGGAAAATCTAAAATAAATGAATAATTTTCTCAATATATACCACTCACCAAAGTTAAATCAAGATCAAATAAACAACTTAAATAGATCTATAACCCCTAAGATTGTTTTAGTACAGAGTTCTACAAGACTTTCAAAGTAGAGCTAATGCCAATATTTCTCAAGTTATTGCACAAAATAGAAACAGAAGGAGCATTGCCAAATTTATTTTATGAGGCCACAGTCACCCCAATACCCAAACCACACAAAGATTCAGCAAAGAAAAAGAATTACAGACCATTTTCCCTTATGAGCATCGATACAAAAATACTAAATAAAATATTCACAAACTGAATCTAAGAACACATCAAAAAATCATCCACCTTGATCAAATAGGCTTCATTTCAGAGATTGAGGGATGGTTCGATATATGAAAATCTACCAATGTAATCAATCTGAAAGTAAAAAATAAAACCACATGATCATCTCATTAGATGCTGAAAAAGCCTTTGACAAAAATCCAACACTCCTTCATGAAAAAAGTCTTGGAGAGATCAGTGACACAAGGAACATACCTAAACATAATAAAGGCAATATATAGCAAGCCAATAGCCAACATCAAATTAAATGAACGGAAACTCAAAGCAGTCCAACTAAAGTCAGGAAAAGACAAGGCTGTTCACTCTTTCCGTGTCTATTCAATATAGTACTTGAAGTTCTAGCTAGAGCAGTAAAACAACTGAAGGTAGCCAAGGAAATACAAATTAGAAAGGAAGAAGTCAAAGTATTGGTATTTGCATATGATATGATGGTATGCATAAGTGACCCCAAAAATTCTATCAGAGAACTAGCACGACATTTTCAGTCAAGTGGCTAGATACAAGATTAACTTTTTTAAAAAAATCAGTAATCCCTATATACAAATGACAGAGTGAGAACAAAATCGGGGAACCAACACCCTTTTCAATAGCCATGAACAATATGAAGTATCTTGGTAACCAATCAAATGAAAGACATGTATGACAAATGCTTCAATGATTTGAAGAAAGAAATTTAAGAAGAAATATCAGAAAATGGAAAGATCTCCCATGCTCATGAATCAGTAGGATTAACATAGTAAAAATAGCCATTCTTACCAAAAGCAATCTACAAATTCAACACAATTCTTTATAGATGTTGAAAGGACAATACTCAACTTCATATGGAAAGCCAAAACATAAGAAATCTAAGCCAATCCTGAACAATAACAGAATGTCTGGATGTATCACCATCCCTGATTTCAAACTATTTTATGGAGCTATAGTAATAAAAACCACATGGTATTGGCATAAGAACAGACAGGTTGATCAATGACATTGAACTGAAAACCACACACCTACAGACACCCAATTTTTGATAAAGAAGCCAGGTATATACAATGGGGAAAAAGCATCTTCAATAAATGGTGCTGGTCTAACTGGATGTTGGTATATAGAAGAATGCAAACAGATCTATATTATCATCCTGGACAAAACTGAAGTCCTTCAACACAAAACCAGAAACATTAACCCTGATAGAAGAGAAAGTGGGGAATAGTCTTGAATGCATTGGCACAGGAGACAGCTTCTTGAGCAGAATACCAGTAGCACAGGCACTAAGATCTACAATTAGTAAATGGGACCTTATGAAACTGAAACTCTTCTATAAGGCAAAGGACACCATCAACAGGACAAAATGGCACACTACAGAATGGAAAAAGATCTTTACCAACTCCACATCTGACAGAGGGTTAATATCCAAAGCATATAAAGAACTCAAGAAACTAGATAGACATCAACAAACCAAACAATTCAATTAAAAATGGGGCACAGAACTAAACAGAATTCTCAATAGAGGAATCTCAAATGGCCGAGAAGCACTTAAAGAAATGTTAAACATTCTTAGCCAGTGCGGAAATGGAAAATCAAAATGACTTTGAGATTTCATCTGTCAGAATGTCTAAGATCAAAGACACAAGTGATGGCTCATGCTGTCGAGCAAGGGGCACAGTCCTCCATTGCTGGTGGGAGTGCAAACTTGTATAGCCACTATGGAAATCAATGAAGTTTCTCAGAAAAATTGGGAATTGAACTACCTCAGGACCCAGCTATATCACTCTTGGGCATATACCCAACAGATACTCTACTATACCACGAGGACACTTGCTCAACTATGTTCCTAGAAGCTTTATTTGCAATAGCCAGAAACTGGAAACAACCTAGATGTCCCCCAGCTGAAGAATGGATAAATAAAGTGCGGTACATAATGGAGTTTAGTCAGCTGTTAAAAAAATAACATCATGAAATTTGCAGGCAAATGTGTGGAACTAGAAAAAAAAAACATCCTGAGTGAGGTAACCCAGACAGATAACCCAGAAAGACAAACATGCTATGTACTCACTTATAAGTAAATATTAGCTGGTAATTAAATGACAATCATGCTATAATCCACAGACCCAGAGAGACTAAGTAACAAGGAAAGCTCAAGGTGGGGGTGGGGGACATGGATCTCCAGGTAAGGGGAAATAGATTTTGTGGGTGAACTGGCAGGGCTAGGGGTGGGAATGGAAGGGCTCAGGTGGTGGGAGATGGATAGAGGAGATTACTGAGAGAGATGACTGGAACTGGGAGGTGTTTCAGGGGGCAAGGTAGAAACCCAGTACCATGGAAACTCCTGGAATCTATGAGGGTGACCCTTGTGAGGACTCCTAGTAACGGAGGCTACAGAGCCTGAGCCAGCTATCTACTGTAACCAGGCAAGGCTTCCAGTGGTGAGACTGGGGCACCAACTCAGTCACAAAACCTTCAGCCTACAATATGCCCTGCCTGGGACAATGGCAAAGGAATTACGGAAGTTGCCAACCAATGTCTAGTCAAATTTGTGGCTCATATCACATGAGGGAAACCATGTTCAACACTGTCTGGATGACCAGGAACCAGAGTCTGCAAAGCCTAGAGACCCAGGGTAGAACCAAACATGACTGGCAAAAAAATAAAAATAAAATAAAAATCAATGAAATGATTCCTAATGATGTTCTGCCACACTCATAGATTGGTGCCTAGTCCAGTCATTACCAGAGAGGATGCTTTGGCAGCTGATGGGATCATATGCAGAGATTCACAGCTCAACATTAGGTGGAGAGAGAGCAGAGGTTGGAAGTCTCCATCGGGTCACTCCCCTTAGAACTCAGGGAACACCACTAAAGGTAGGGAAGAAGGACTTGTGGGGGCACTCCGGGAGAGCATAGGATTCACAGAGACCGAGGCAGCAGTCACGGAGACTGCATGGGTCTGAGCTAGGTCCTCTGCATATATGTTAATGGTTGTTGGCTTGGAGTTTGGGGGGGAGGGCTCCTGACAGTGGGAGTGGGGGTGTTGCTCTCTGTCTGATCTTGGGACACTTTTCCTCTTACTGGATTGCCACATCCAGCCTGGATGTGAGTGTTTGTGTCTGGCCTAGTTGCATCTTATGCTGTATTTGGTTGATTGGGATGGGGTGGGGGCAGCAGCCTGGGGGCGGGGCGAGGGGAGGTGAGGAGAACTAGGAGAAGTAGAGGGAGGGGAAGCTGCAGTCAGCATGTAATATATGAGAGCAGAATGAAAAAAAAAAGTCACTTCTCACCTTGGCTTGGTGGCATGTGCCCCTACCCACTGAGACATCTCACCAGCTCCCGTTTTGTTTTTATTATTTTTTTATTTTATTACTTTCATTTTGGAAGATAGGGTGGGTCTTATTATTTATCCCTGGCTTGCCTGAAGCTCACTATTATGGACCAGTCTGGATACAAACTCAGAGAGATCCACCTGCCTCTGCCTCCTGGGTGCTGGGATTAAAAGTGTGCACCACCACAACTGGCATTTTTATCCAACCCCGGCCATGTATATGTGTGTGTGTGTGTGTGTGTGTGTGTGTGTGAGAGAGAGAGAGAGAGAGAGAGAGAGAGAGAGAGAGAGAGAGAGAGAGAGAATCCATGGTCCATGGTGCGTGTGTGGAAAGCAGGAGGCAGATTTGGGTGTTAGGTTCTCTCCTTTCACAACTGAGGATCCAGCTCAGGTTGTCATGTGTATGCAAAGAGAGCTTTTACGTGCGGAGTCGTCTCATATATCCTGATTTTTTTTTAAAGCAGACTGCTATACTAGCTCAGGGTGGCTTGGAACTCACTAAGTAACCCAGCCAGGCCTCAAACTTTGAGTAATCCCCCTGCCTCAGCCTCTGGAGTACTACCACAGGAGGAGGTGGATTTGGTGGCTGTCATGGTGGAGGCAGGTGGCAGGTGGCGGGGATCTATGAACATACTCACTGGCTGGGGACAGGAAGCCGTAAGCAAACCCCACTTGTTTCAGCTCAGCCCTGCGGCCCAAAGGGCCAGATTAATGACACTCATGAGCAGAAGAGATCCTTCCAGACAAGTAAGCCGTGAGATGATGAATGAGGGGGCAGCAGACTTCTGATGGCTGTGGTCAGCAGGCACTGGAGGGAAGCCATGGCCAACACAGAAGCTCCAGTGGGGGTGTAATGCAGTTGATGGACAGAGGACCCAGGGTCTCCCTGCAACACCAAGTCAGCAGAAGGCACTCTGGTACAAGTCCTTTATTATCGAGTCCGTTAGCACAAGGCACCAAGCTTACGGTGAGGTGCATCTCACATCTGGAGTTTCGCTGTAAGCAGTAGCTAAAGGCAGTTTCTGCCTTTGTAGGAGATCTGATGTCTCACATCCATGGGCCAGCTAGATCCAGGAGCCCATCTGGCCTCCTGACAATGGGGTCCCTGGAATTTCCGTCAGTACTGGCGTAGGGAGGGAACAGGTTTCACAGGTGTGTAAGCCGGAGGGGAAGGATGAGGGAGCCTTGATTTCTGGCTAGACATGTTAGAGTGGCAGGGGCACAGCAGGGCCACCCCACGGCACAGAGAAGAAGCTGGGATCTTGGAGTGTAAGGGCAGGAGTGCCAAGCAGGCTCTCTCGAGAGGCATATGCTTGGCTGGTTGGAAGCCACTCAGTGGTTGACGTCATTTCACCCTCCCTGTGGACCTAGTGGGAACAGTCTCAAGCAGCTCCATGTGTGACTCGGGTCAGATGACCTGAATGACTTTTGTCTTTTGAGGGTTCTGACATCTGAAGGTAGCTGTGTCCTCATGTGGTCCATGTGGTCCACACTGTGGGTTGGTGTGGTAGCCAGGTCGTGGCATCACCACCTGGGAACTTAGCAGACATGCCAGCTGTTGGCTCTGTCCTTCCTTAGAGCAACTATGGGGAGGTAATATGCTGCTCTGAAGGTTCCCCTGGAGGTGCTAAGGGGAGAGCAAGTGTAAGACATGCCACACTGGTCACCGATGGCCTAACTGCCACCCGGAAGTCACAAGATGGCTACGTTCCCTTCTGAGCAGCTTTGGCTGCCCTCCCTTCTCTTGCCCCTTTGCCCCAGCCCTGAAAAGCCAATAAGCAGAGGGCATTTTCAAAGCTGGTAGGGTTCTAACTGGTCCATTCATTCCCTTGACTTCAAAACCCTGGAAGCTGTTCAGAGTGGCGGGTTCTGAGCTCCCAGTGGCTCATCACACGGGCCTGCTGCACATCCTCCAGACAGCCAGAGCCTTTCGGATATGAACCTCTATGACCCTGCGAGGGGTGAGGGGGCTCAAGACAGAAGTCACCTTGTGTCCACTCCAGAGCCCAGAAATAACAAATGTTTAATATAGGATAGGGGAGGCGTTAAGGCTGCCACTATTTGGCCATACCACCTAGAACACTGTTCTTGAATGCCAACCTGGCAGCTGGTGCTGGGGGGAGGGGCTTCTAGCTCTACTTTCTTTGGGTCCACCTGGCTGGTGCCCTGACAGCTGATGCCTGAGGCCACAGTATCCCTTTGTATATTACCATTTCCCTCAGAGCCTCTTCAGGAGGAATGTGGTTTGGGCCCTACATCTTTTGTTTAATCCCCTCTATCTGAGTCTTATAGGTCTATAAGCTTGGAGATCAAAGTGAGCCTTCGAATAGCTGCAAGAATCTGGGAAGGTGGAGGGCAGCTAAGATTTTCTCTCGGCCATAATGTAGTCTAGGATTTTTGGGAGTGTCTTTTTTTTTTTCTTCTTCTTCTTCTGAGTTTGTACAGGCAACCCAGGGCCCTTCAGGCAGATGACATAAGCCAGCCTGGGGCTCCACGTAGTCCCCCGGAGAATCCCAGAGAAGAAGAGGCTGACCCAAGAGAGGCTGATGTTCCCGTTGTTGGTGCAACTACTTCCTGCCCTGAGAATGGAATTTTAGACCTGTGCTGGGGCTGCAACCAGTGGCCCTTCGTTCCCTTATGTACAACTGGGAGCTCATCTCCCTGCAACAACGGACCCAGCTCAGCAGGATCTGGGTGCATGGCGGTAAGAACTGGGTCAGACAGAAGGCAAGTCGTAAGTGCGTTTGGTTAATGAGATGCCAACTTGTTCATTGTGGAGAGGTGAGCAAGACCCATGTGGAGCTGAGGCTGGTTTGGAGTCCTGGTGCACAAAGCTGCCCAAGCCATGATCAATGAAGAGGGGATCCCCTATGGTCTGTACCCTATGTCTATACTCCCTATGGTAGTGGTTGATATCTACTCCCAACTTTTGATTTTTTCTAGGATTTTCTTTCTGTCTACTTTAATGTGTGGGGAGTTCTTCCCGAATAGTCTCTATTTCATTCAATGACTAGAGAGAGAGGAGGAGAGAACCGTATTACTCCGGAATGATGGGGAAGGAAGCAGAGAACACAGTGGAAGGGAAATGGGGCCATGAAGGCACCAGGAAATGGGGTGCAGGCAGAGTACCTCCTTCCCCACAGCTTCCTCTTTTCGGCAGCCCTGACGTAACAGCCCGAGGTGTGGGCCACTAGGGAAGAGCTTTTCCCACTAATTCACTAACATTTTAAACCTTGCATTCTGGGAGTCCATGCTGCGAAGAGGACATTACCGGGGGCTGGGGCTCGTGATTATCATGTGACTCTCAGGTGCCGCACACCCAGCTGTAACCAACCTGCCTCTTTAAGTGCCCTGTCCTGGTGGCTTTAGCTGCCCCATCTTAGATGACCCCTGACCAAGGCCCTACAGGAAAGGCATGGCCGGTTACTGGTGGGAAGATCCAAAACCAGCTAAGTTTTGGGAGGGGTGAGCTAACCCAGTCTGCCTGAAGTGGTGCTTTTCTCTGAGTAGAGCTGACTGGGACCCAATGTCAGTGGGAATTACACACCAAGCCCTGCAGGAGTCTTGGGAAGACCCATCTGCCATCCTTCTAGTCCAGACTCAGGCATTGAGATAGTGCAGAGGGAGCTGAGCTCTGGCCCTCCTGGAGTCCATAGGGATCTGTGCCTGGCAAAGGCCTCCGGCAGCCTCTTGCCAGAACCATCCCCTGCCAAAGATTCTGGCAGTGAATGAGTGCTTGGAAATGGAGGAGTGAGCCGAGGTCCCTGCCCCAGCGGGACTCCCAGGAGCCACAACCACAGGCAGCTGGTGGGCTCTGCATAGGGTTGAGGGAGTCATGACCCAACTGCTGACTTTGCAGGCCTGGTTCAGGATGTGGGGATGTGGGCTCTCGTGTGGGGCAGTCAGCAGGCTACTGGGGCATCCTTTAGTAAAAGTGTTGCTGGAGCCTTCGGTGTAAGCAGCAGGTGAGAACCATCCCGCAGATCTGCCAGATGGAGAGAACAGAGAGCAAAGGCGTGAGAACCCCGTAGGCTGCTGGCTGAGTGCTGGGAGTCAGTTGCTCACACTGGAGTGATCTACACCCCTTCGAACCCTACCCATCTGGAAGGGTCTGCTTTTCTCATAGGACCCCAGGAGATGCTGATGAGGCCAGGGGAAGCTCTGACTTCTGTGCTAGAATGGGCTTGAATCACGAGCCTGGTTACACGACACATTTCAATCCTGTGGGTCTGGGTCGGGGTCCAGAGGCTGCTGTCCTTCCCAGAACCCACCCGGTCTGGGCTACTGACCTGTGGACCCAGAGGTTCTCTCTAGACAGCTCTGCTCATCTGGTTCTTCTGTGATGATGTTCCCACTCACGCCAGAGCTGTCAAAATCATCTCTGCTTCCTGCTGTCCTAGGGCTCCAAAACCAAACCAAAGCCCTCCACAATTCGGGGAAGAGCACTCAGTGTTCCTATGAGTTAGCGTGGGGGACTCTGGCATCCTGCCTTCCAGTACACCTACCGAGCCCACGGACTGAACAAGGACACAGAGGGTCCCACCTGCCCAGTTTCCCCTTTGGTCCCCATTCCCAGATTACAGAGGACCTGTATTCTCCACCCCATGCTCTTTACTCTCCCACCCCTGAAGCTGCCCCTTTCCCCTCTCCTCCTTCCCACCCAGGGATGTCTTGAGGACAAGGAGATGGGTTGTGTCAGAACAAGGTGCCCCATTGCTGTCATCCTGATCCTGATGGTGACAGTATAGTTACTTGGTCTCCACTCTGTGTGTAGGACAGGAGCCCTGAGTAGCAGTCACACAACGGTCACATGGCACAGGGTTGAAAGCGAGTGTCTCTATGTAAGGGATTATCCTGTCTTTCTTTGGCTTATTTTACAGACCTGGCCTTGGCTGTGCAGGCCTGGGTGCCAGTGGAGCTCCAGCCAGAGTAGGACTAGCCCCATGAAGATGAGCATAGGCTGAGACAGTTGCCTGTTGTCAGGTTATCTTCTGGTCATCAAGGACGGGTTTATCTCTTCACTTTGCTCCCCACTCTCCGGCCACAGGCCCAGCAGGGTCAATAGTTGAGGTTATACATGCCGCTTTCCGGTTTAGCCTCAGTGCTAAGAGTCGGGCTAATCCACCTGGGGACTCAGGCTCAGAAGCCCACAGGTGGCTTAAGAGGTTATCTCTCCTCCACGGCTTTAAGAAGGCACAGGCACAGTGATCCACAGTGTGGATCACTGCTGGCCCAGGGGTTGTGGCACGTTCCTGTCTCCATCTCATGGTTGGGTGCTTTTCCCATGGGTTCTCGGGGTCTCTCTCACGCACACAAAGGGGCAGGCGGGAGGAACCTCTTGGTCTGGTCTATGTGTGTTGTAGGCTGTATGTATCCACTTTTGCTCAGCATGCAATTAACTCTAGATGGTCCTGTAGGAGCTGAACACTCTGGCCTGCATCATGCATTTGAGATGGATCCTTCAACAGTCATAGCAAGTGCAAGGGGGTAGGCACTCTCATCAAAACATGTCCATGCCCATGCAAAGATGCATGTGCCTACATACTTCACCCTGAACTCTGTGGAAGGATACACTTATTAATGTATGCACAGGTCCACACGTGCAGGCATACATGCACACATTCCTCACCCGAACTCTGTAGATTCACTTATTAATGTGTGCACAGGTCCATACATGCATGCATACACGCACACATTCCTCACCCTGAACTCTGTAGAAGGATACACTTGTTAATGTGTGCACAGATCCACACATGCATGCATACATGCACACATTTCTTACCCTGAACTGTACAATGTGATAAACACACACACACACACACACACACACACACACACACACGATGGAGGAAGGTCATTGGTTAAAAAATAAAGAAACTGCTTGGCCCTCATAGGCTAGAACATAGGTGGTGGGGTAAACAGAACAGAATGCTGGGAGGAAGAGGAAGTGAGGTAAGACGCCTCAGACAGACGCCATGCAGCTCTCTCCAGGGCAGATGCGATGCAGCCAGCCACCAGGTCAGACATGCTGAATCTTTCCTGGTAAGAGCACCTCGTGGTGCTACACAGATTATTAGAAATGGGTTAAGAGGCTGAAACTAATGGGCCAGGCAGTGTTTAAAAGCATACAATTTGTGTGTTGTTATTTCAGGGTATAAGCTAGCCAAGCGGCCAGGAGCCGGGCTGTGGGAAGAGGCCTGCAGCTCCTACAACACACACATGCACACACAGTCATGTGTGCATACACATCTACCCTGAAGTGCACAGAGGGTAAAGGCCAGTAGCCCACTAGGTCCCAAATGAGTACCAGTATCTCCTTTTGACAGAGGTCACAGAGAAGCCAGCATGGATGGTCCAAGCAGCCAGCATGGTAGCATGAAACAACAGAGAAGTTCCTGGAGAGAGCAAAAATAGCTGAGGGTAGCCTATCTCCTGAGTTTGGCTCCTGCTACCAACTCCACTTGCATAGGACATAGGGCTCCCTTGGGGGAGCTGCTCCGAACAGTACTTGACTGCACGTGGGTGTTTTTAACAGGGAGGTGCCTCCTCTGTGTGCGAGGACAGCCCCCCCAAAGATTCCTGGGCTACTATAACCTTTTTCAAGTTTCCCAGTTAGAATATTCTATAAATTGCTTTCTAAGATTATGCCACAGTGGAAAGCCACCCACAAGAGAGGAAGCTGGTGGAGAAGAAAGAGCACCAGGAATAGGAGGGAGGCCTGGCGGGCTCTGCCACAGTGGCTGTGTGATCTTCAGAGAGCGACTTTCCATCTCTCGCACTAGTTAGTCATATTCAATGGAGATGAATAAGATGGGCCCAGCAGCCCTCTCTGGCCTGAGTGAGCACACATTTGATGACCTGACAGGATCCGCAGTGTATGGAGTCCCACGGCGAGGCTACGACAAGCCCGGAAGTGCTACTGAGAGGAACCAGCGTGTGCCCAGAGGACAACCTCTCTGAGGGGAGGGGCTCTTCCTTCTAGCACCCCTGACACTCAGCTCCTGCTCCAGCTTGCTGTCCTCGAGACAGCTCTCCGTGAAGGCCACCACTGGGCCATCCCATCTGCGTTCAGAGGCTTCCGGTGGGCCTCTTTGTAAATGCTACCCACAGTCCCCATCTTGCCGCTAAGACTCTCAGGGAAAGCCCCCATGTGACTTTCTTCTCTCGCCTCCGAAGCCCTCCACACCTTATCTCTAGCTTCAGTCATCTCCTCTGGAGTCCCTGAGATCTGAGGAAGTTGGAAGATATACTGAGGTCTGGGGGCCACCTTGGCCATTGGATGTATATGCATTGGAGCATAGCCCCGGGTCTTGGGTGGGTTCAAAATATGCCTGAGGGGTTCTACAATGTGGCCAAGGTGATAATTTCTCCTGAGCACACACGCCACGGTGTAAGTACATCATTTCCCCGAGATGTACATCTTGGCTTACATGTCCGTGAGGCAGTGATGGACAGGCCACCAGACACCTGGCTGAAATTAGAGCGACAGCCTTGTACACTTGCCTAGTTTCCAGAGTTCACAGAGCATCTGTCTAAGGTGGCTGGTCAGTGAGCTGGGACCATAGAAACATAAGGTTGCTAAGGGATGGGACAGAGAAGCAGATTCCACCTTGTAGAAGAAGCCATACATGTACTTCAGGGCCATGAGATCAGGGAGTGGTGGGCTGTTTCAATGGCCAGCAGCTCCTGCCTTCTGTGCCTAACAGACTGGTCTCCTAGGTAACAATGTCCACTAATGGCTGCTTTTTCAAAAACTGTCCAGTCTCTCTATCCTACTGAGAAGAAAACCAAGAGACACACCATCTCAGAATGATATCCTGACCTTGGTGCTTGTGTGTGTGTGTGTGTGTGTGTGTGTGTGTGTGTGTGTGCGCGCGCGTGCGCGCGTGCATGCGTGTATGTTTGTGTGCATGTGTGTAGGGACATGGTGTCTCCTCTGTCTGGAAGAAACACTACTCTTCTGGGGAATAAGGGCTGATTTGGGCCCTTTCTCTAGGCTGCCTGGAAGACTGGGTAGATTAATGTCCATGTCCGGCCAGTAGAGGGCACTCTAACCGAGGTTTGGCCATTACCACCTCAGCTTCTCTCACAAGTGAGAAACCAGGGCAAGGGATGAGATGCAGAGTCATAGCAGGGAGAGGTGTCATACCTGCAGGAATATTGCCTGCCCAGTGGTCTGGCGCCTGGACATTAGACTTACACAGCAGCACTGAACTGCTCTGACTTTGAGCTCTAAGCCTTTGCTGCCCTGTCCCTGGTCCTCAGGTTCATTACCTTTGACTATAGTTTCTGCAGACAGATGCCAGGACGACGTGGACAGAGGTGGACCAGGCCTCGTCAGTGTCTTTCCAGGGCAGTCCCTTAAAAACCTGTGTGATGGGTCTCAGGGAACACCAGTGAGCCGGAAGCTGGAGTGATGGGTAACCCCTGCCTGGACCCAGAAGCAACTCTGGGTTCAGTACAAGGAAAATGCAAGGGCTATGTAGTGTCCCTGGGCCCCCTAGTCTAGCAGCAAGGAGGCCAAGGAGTCAGTGGGGAGTTTTTGAGAGATAATGGACCTGTGTGGAAATAAAAGCTATGAGCATCTTTTATGGGCACCTGCATCTGCTTGGCAACAAGGCCCACCATTTGGATGCATGACTGACCACCACGGGAGTCAGCGGCGGTTTCATTTTATGGACCACTGAGCCTCAGAGATGAAATAACTCATCCTAGGTCATGCAGTCCTGCTCATCAGCAGAACCAAGAAGGTCCTCCTCTGAGAAGCTGGAGAGTTTCTTCCCAGCACGTGAGGCGGCAGCTGGCTCTCCAGTCCCCATGGGAGAGGGGTGACACGTGGTCCGGAGACAGCCCTAAGCAGCAAGTCTCCTCAAGCCAGGTGGCATTAACATCCCATGCATTTCTTTCCCACAGGCTCTGTGGGGAAACACACTTGGGAAAGCCAAGGGCCAAAGCCGGGAGCTGCGGCTGCAGGTTTAGGTGGGAGACCTGTGTGTAGTGTTTTTGGGTCTCAGTTCTCTGATCCAGGAAGTGTGGAGCATGCTCTGTCCACCTGTCTTGGTCTGGAGTGAGGATGCATTAGGACGAAGGCTCTGAGACTGCAGAAAATCAGATAAAGCCAGCTCACACCTATCTACAGAGGCAAGTGTACACCAGGCACCCTGTGTGGGCCATGTTCTCTTCTCTGCATCCCTGGTTCTTATGTAGGCAACATGAGAATGAGGAAATAAGCCTCATTTTGCAGATGAAGTTGAAAGACTAGGAAGGTAAGCAGTGACTCAAGACCACAGTGAGCCAGAGCCAGACTGGGACCCTGTGTCTGTTGGTTCAGCCGCTTCCTTTCTTGGGATGCCACTTTATAGCACTCGGGTGGGAGGTGTAGGGCAGAAGAGTAGGATGCCCAGGTCCTTCTAGAAGGGCAGCCCCCACACAGCTCCCACCATTGGAAGGAAGCAGGAGTATACATACACGAGGGAGGAAGTGCTTTCTGTGCCTGCTCAGCCTGAGGATTCTCTCCCGGCACCTCTCCTAAGGCCCCTTCTTGTACAATATTATTTTAGGACGTGTTACATTTGTTTATGTTCTGGAATATGTGTTTAATGATACATTAAATGCGTTGCATTCTTCTATGTTGCCTTTGTTTAACTCTGTGAAGCTGTATTACTTTGCCTGTCTAAAACACCTGATTGGTCTAATAAAGAGCTGAATGGCCAATAGCAAGTCAGGAGAAAGGATAGGCAGGGCTGGCAGGCAGAGAGATTAAATAGGAGAAATCTGGGAAAAGTGATCTAGGAGCGAGAGGAGGAGGAGAATGTCAGGGGCCAGCCACCCAGCTGAACAGCAAGCCATGGAGTAAGCAATAAAGAAAGATATGCAGAAATAGAGAAAAGTAAAAGCCCAGAGGCAAAAGATAGATGGGATAATTTAAATTAAGAAAGGCTGGCTAGCGATACACCAAGCTAAGGCTGGACATTTGTAAGAATATTCCTTTGTGTGATTTATTTGGGAACTGGGTGGAGGGCCCCCCCAAAAGAGCCAAAAGAGTAAAAAACAACCAACAGCAGTCCCTTGATTGGAGCAAAGGAGGGGACTGTTGCTCATTTCTTGGATGGAGGTTAGAGGAGGGGATGTAGGGATGTAGGGAGAGGCATTGAGGGTAAAGTGTAGCTTTGCCTGTCCTCAGGGAGATAGGCGTATCTTCCTGGAAGTAACATGTATACACATGGAATGACGTCAGGTTCATGCATGCATATGTGCACAGGCAACTTAAGCACACACGTGCACACACCCTGTATCATGTCTGCACAGACACATGCAGCCAGTCATAGACGTTCACAAACTCAGCAGGCTGTGCTGAGCACACAGGGCACATGCTTCATACCTGATCCCACACTCAGGTTAAGTTGTTCAGGATTCTGGGGAATGAGACCGACAGTGTGGTTCATCCTTGGTGGCCAAGGGAAAGGGAGGGGACAAGGGTAGGGCAGGCCATGAGCAAGTCGTCAGCTACTTCCCCCAAGACAGGGGTCTGAGACCTCAGCTGAAGCGAGACATCCCCTGCTCCACTTACCTGAAGACAGGCCACCCCAATGCCCACTGCGCCCATGAGCAGCAGGTGGTCAGCCAGGAACTGCTCCAGCTTCGCCATGCAGCCTCCCTGCAAGGTGGAGGTGGGTTACTCAGGCCTTAGCCCAGCAACAGGCAGGGGGAGAGGGGGAGATGAATGACTGTCATCCTGCGTGCTGCTGAGACTGGGGGATGCCAGCCTTGGAATTTCTCCCGGCTGTTTTGAGAACCATGGTGTTTGAGACTTCCATGTTAGTTCTTAGTCCTCTGTCAGAACTCGGAGTGCCCCCAGGCTCTGTGATCTCAGGCCAAAGCTTGGATTTTTACTTTCCCACACCTGCCTACTGAGCTGGACTTCTGGGGGTCCTCCCCTGACTCCTGGATGATCTCTGCACTTACCTCCACCTTGTAGATGTTGGAGGGGTGGGCCCGCTGGCCGCAGTGCGCCACCACGGTTTTGCAGCAGCTGTCGGGTACCCGGCGCCCCTGGGCATTCTGGGACAAGATGTATGTACTGTGCTGCCAGTCGGCTGAGCTGTTGCTGCCACAGCATTTGAACTGAGAGGAGGAGATGAAGCTGGGGTGAGGGGGTCTGTGTGGTGCTCCCGACCCCGTGGTCCAGGACCGGTATTCAGGTTCTCTTCTGGGATTTCCCTGTCCCCTTGGAGAAGGATAGGGTCTGTCTGGGACCTTTCTCTGCAGGACACCTGTTAGCTCCCTCGAGCCAAGTATTCTAGGGGGTAGGGATTATCTGTGAGATTGAAGGGTAGACAGATGTGGGGCTTTCACTGTTGTGAAGTTCGGTGCCATTAGGGTGTACAGCTAGGGTCCAGATTGGGGGGGGATCCCAAGGGTGATGTTCCCTGGTCATTTAGGAGGTAGGACTTGGGGACAGGGATCTAACTTGCCAATGGTTTCAGGATCCCCATTTGGGTGTTGAAGTTCAGAACTCCGAGACTAGCGGGGCGTGGAGGGTGTCCCAGAGGCTAGGTCAGCACTAACCACAGAGACTCATGTGAATGCCAAGTACAGCCCAGCAGGCCTGCACTTTACGACCTTCAGAGTGAGTCAAAGAACAGACACTGGCCACGCCTCCCCTCTGTAAGTCATGGCACTGAGATCCTACGACCGTGCCCAGGAGCATGGCACAGCTGCACTGAGCCTGTCTCTTGGGTACAGGTGCAGGGACATTCGGTTCAAACGTTAGTCACCTCCATGCCAGGAGCGAGGCTGAGGACCTGGCTCTTAGCTTGCCATTGACTGTCCTTGAGAGGGGCACAGTGGAGGCAGGGGAAGCAGTTTGTCTGGGGTGAGCAAACACCTGTAGAGTGTGCACAGGGAGCCCGCACGTCACTGTGCACGCTAAACAGGCTCACAACATGAGAGAGCACCCGTAGGGCACGCTCAACATAACAACCAGACTGGAGCGCACACATGACATGACAGCCGAGGCAGAACACGTGCACAGTGTGACAGCTAGAGCACAGAGCGCATGACCACGACATGATGTCACGCCCAGAGCACACAGATAATAGAAGAGCATGACAAGAACATGGGCACAGCCAAGGACAGCACACACAGAGCAGCCACTGGGGAGGTTGTACGTTCTCTCTCTCTCTCTCTCTCTCTCTCTCTCTCTCTCTCTCTGTGTGTGTGTGTGTGTGTGTGTGTGTGTGTGCTGGTGCCCCGAGCACTTATAAAATGGGGAAAATAACCTCTGCGGTGGGGGTGTGTAAGGATGGACAGAGCAGGTCCTTGGACAGCACTCAGCATTTGCACAGAGCCAGCAGTGTGTCATGGAGTGTCATTGTGTGTCATGGTGTGAGGAGTGGTCCATGTACACACGTGTCATTTACACACATGTGGCCCAGATGTGGCCCTAGCTCGGATCCACCACTGTCTCAGGCTCAGTGTTGAGCTGGGTCACTAACTGCCCCAGCTTGGGAGAGGCCTGTGTTACACATGTTGACGCCATGGTCAGTGGCAGGCTTTACTTTTGCCTTTGTTTGCCTCCCTCCCACTTAGGCAAACCACGCCCACATCCAACCCTACCTCCCCTACTTTCTAATCTGAGGTGCCTGGGAAAACTGCCTGGTGTCACCTATTGTCCGCAGTTCCGTGAGTGAGACCCCCAGCCAAGGCAACTGCCCTACCCTTTGTCTCACACGGCTCCTTACATGTGGACTCAGTAGGTACATGCTGCTTGCACAGGTGACCAACAGTGTGGGTGGCCCTGTCCCAGCTACTGGGTTAAGCACATGAGGGCATGACTGCATATTTCGTTGTGTACCTATGTATATACACATGACCCTAGCCATTTTCTCTGGGATCCACTGCATCTTGCAAACAACACTTTTTCTTGTCCCTCATGGGCTGTTCAATGGCTCACAATCAGAAAATTCTTTCCTGCTCCGGGCCATGGTGGCCTGGCAAAGAACACTGGAGCCTTGGGTCCATCTCTCTGAGGAAGAATAAAATTAGTTCATAGACAGGAGATGAGGGTAACTGTCTGCCCCAGTAGATCTAAACTGGAAGGCAGCAGGGATGGGGTTTGGACAGAATGGAAGGGGGGTACAGGGGAAGCCAGGGCTCATTGAGTACTTTCCAGGGTGTCACATCTAGAGGCAATCACCATCACTGCACCCCTCCACTACACAGCTTAGTTAGGGATGTGCGACAGGAGATCAGAGAGGGTGAGTCAGTTGTCCCGGGTCAGACAGACTGGGAGAGACAGAGGCAAGGTGTAAACCTGCATCTCTCTGTGAGGCTTACATCCTGCTGCAGCCGGTCCACCGAGGCTGTGATCTCTGCGGCTCTTGGCTGCCCGTAGCGTTCAGTCAGGGTGCTGTTCAGGTGCTGCTTCAGCTCCTCACTCAGCTGAGGAGGGGACAAGAAGAGTGTCAGCAGACACCCCCCCCCCCACACACACACCTTCCTCTAGGATTCAGATGTCTCCGAATTCTCGCCAGCTGTCGTCAGGACACTGTAATGACTCAGACAGTGTTGTGAGCGGACGTGAAGGCAAGGTGTGAAGGGCAGAGCTGACAGGGGCTGAAGAGGTCACTACCGCTCATGCCGAGTCCCATGGGAGCTGCCTTCAACTTGCTGTGGATTTGAACTTTGATTACAAGATGAGGTTTGCTATATGGGCACTTGTGACCCTGGGCAATTGTGTGCACGTTGGCTTCAAAGGACCTGCTTTGGGACTCACTGTATTCCAGCCCAATGCTACCCTGTTCTTGCCTTCAAATCCCAAACCTGAAGCTGTAAGCATGGGAAGAGGGAGACTGATTCTGACTCTCACCCGTTGAGGCAGGCAGGGCCTACTCCAATCTTTACAATCTGTCAGTCTGCATTTGACCCTTTCTGATCCCTTCTCAATGGCTGTCTTAGCAAGTGGGTTCTTTGTTTAGGATCCCTGGAAGGAGAAGAATGAACTAGCCTCCCTGAGAGACTCTGGACCAGGCTCCCCCATGGAACCCAGCAGTACCAACAGAGGCAGAGAGATCTACCGAATCTGGGACAGGAAACGGGACTACCTATCTAGACCTCTGCCTCAGATGCTAGGGCAGCACGAACCCCAGCATCTTGCTGCGACTCCCTCAGGCACCAACAGAAAACCGCAACAGGACCTTGTACTTACCCTCTGGTAGTACACATGTGCCAGGACCCCTGCCACCAGCTCCACGAGGAAGATGGCCAGCAACAGGCAGAAATACTAGGAGCAAGAAGAGGAATGGTCACCCTAAGAACCAGGGCTCCCCTGTAACAAAAGCCTCTGCAAAGACGTAGCAGGTGACGGTGATACCTGCAAGGACTCCTATCGCCCCAATCCTACTCTTCTTTTTTTAAACCCACATTCTGGACATGACAACCCCCACTGGCTACCACTCACCCCTCTGCTCTGGTCTACAGACAGCCCAAGAATCCAACTATCATCCAGGCTTGAGTGGACATCGGCTGGATATGATACTACTGGCTTGTGGTGGGGGGAGGCGGGGGGCAATATGAAGTTATTAAAGCATGGTGTTGTCGGTGTTTCTGTGGGGTAGCCCCAGAGGCTCCCGATGTGGTGGGGAGGCAGAAGAGGCTTTGGGGAGGTGGTGGCACCTGCGGCACCGCTCTGACAGGGATACAGAGGCACCTGTCAGTCACAGAAGGGGAGAAGCATGCTACAGGCAGCAGAAGAGCATTTGATTTTGGACAACAGCAAACACCCTGGTGGCTGGAAAGGAGAGATAGACTGGTGTTGTAAGGAGGCCGCTTGTTTGTTTCTCAGTCGCCCAGACTCCCCAAATAATAACACAGAAACTATATTATTTAAATCACTGCTTGGCCTATTAGCTCTAGCTTCTTATTTGCTAACTCTTTTTTTAAAAAAATATTTATTTATTTATTATGTATACAATATTCTTTCTGCGTGTATGCCTGCAGGCCAGAAGAGGACACCAGACCTCATTACAGATGGTTGTGAGTCACCATGTGGTTGCTGGGAATTGAACTCAGGACCTTTGGAAGAGCAGGCAGTGCTCTTAACCGCTGAGCCATCTCTCCAGCCCCTTATTTGCTAACTCTTACAAATTAATTTAACCCATCTCCATTAATCTGTGTATCACTGCAAGGTCGTGGCCTACCAGCAACGTTTCAGCATGTCTGTCTCCGGCAACGGCTCCATGGCTTCTCTCTGACTCTGCCCTTCTTTCTCCCAGCATTCAGTTTAGTTTTCCCCACCTAGCTCTGTTCTACCCTATCAAGCCAAGCCAGTTTCTTTATTAACCAATTGTATTCACAGCATACAGAGGGAAATCCCACATCAGACTGGGCCCAGGAGCTAAGGCCCTGGAGAAGGCAAAGTCCCTGGATGGTGATTTGAGTCATCTCTTCCAGCCTTGATACCTACTTCCCATCCTTCATAGCTTTTCCCAGGGCTTTTGGGTGCCTGCCTCTCCCAGATTCCACAGTGCCAGCCCTGAGCTTCAAAGCATACAGATGTGCACTTCCATCCTGGCTCCCGCCTGGCTGCGCACTGTCAGCAGCACTCCGGAGCCTTGTGGGAGCCCATAGGTCAGGCCCATGTGGTCTGGAAGAGGGGTGGGGACATAGAGGGGAAACAGACCACAGGCACCAAAGGGACAAGGAACAGAGGAGAGGATAGAGAGAAGAGAGTAAAGGGAGAGAGAGAGAGAGAGAGAGAGAGAGAGAGAGAGAGAGAGAGAGAGAGAGAGAGAGAGAGTGGGGGGGGAGGAGGGGGGGGGGGAGGAGGAGGAGGAGAAAGAAGAAGAGGAGGAGGAGAACCATGAAGAAGAACATTTCACTGGGCAGTGGTGGTGCACACTTTAATCCCAGCACTCTGGAGGCAGAGGCAGGAGAATTTCTGTGAGTTTGAGGCCAGCCTGGGCTACAAAGCAAGTTCCAGAACAGGTTTCAAAGCTACACAGAGAAACCCTGTCTGGAAAAACCAAAGAAGAAGGGGAGGAGGGGGAGGAGAAAAGGAAGAAGGAGGAGGAGAGGAGAGAAGAGGAGGAAGAAGAGGGAGACAGAGATGAAGATGAAGAAGAGGAAGAAGAAGAAGAGGAAGAGGAAGAGGAGGAGGAGGAAGAGAAGTAGTAGTAGTAGTAGTAGTAGTAGAAGAAGAAGAAGAAGAAGAAGAAGAAGAAGAAGAAGAAGAAGAAGAAGAAGAAGAAGAAGAAGAATAGCATTCCCCTTTTCCCTAGAGCTTACATCTGGCCACAGGGTTTGGGGAGGCCACTTACGGGTGCCATCTGAGATGCCAGATTCATGAGGTAGGGAAAGGCATGCGGACAGGAGGAGACAGCTGTCGTGGGTCCTTAGGAGGGCAACACAGAGCCTGTAGACTTTGCCTGACCTTAAATCTGGACCCCTACATGAAGGAGATTACATGGATAGGGTTTGGGAAACACAAGGGGAGTGGGATTTCTTTTAATTCCTAGGGGAAAAGCCTGGACAAAGCTGCCCTTTAAATTAACACACAGCTCTCAGTAATATCATTGCATCCCATTCTTTCAGCACTGTGACTGGCCATCATCAGTGACCAGGACAAGTTGCTAGTCTCTATAGGTGGGGGTTTAGCCTGCCTGTCACCTGTGGAGCCCAAGGCAGAGAGGATAAGAGATGTTCCAAGTCACCCTTCCTTTTTCCTCCTGTGTTGTCATAGAAAAGGCCAGACAGCCTGCACATCCAAGCTCTGTCTGTTCCTTCCTCAAGGTCAGATGCATCCTATCACTCCATGGCTGAGGATGTGGGGAAGACAGAGTAGGATACTGTGAGGGATACAGGCTAGGGGTGCACACTCGGTGATCCTATTTGCTGTGACTTTGTCTGGAGTTCTGTCTATCTGTCTCTCTGTCTAAAAGGGGTTTCCAGGCTTTTGGTGTCAGGCTCAGAATCAGGAGTATGGGAAGGGGTACAGCCTCTCCAGGGCACGTTCCTCAGCCCCAGGACTTTTTAACCTATTTGGGCAGACAATACTGAATGGGATCCAGAGTAAGCTGAAGTGTGTGTCTAAGAGGTCTGTGATGGCCACCTCTGTTCCCAGGAATAGGTCTGAAGACATGGAAAACGCTGGTGGCAGGCAGGCTGGATGGGCACCACTGCCAACTAGGAAAACATACAAAGACCGAGGTGGCATGCTTCAATAAGAGCTGTGCAGAATGGACACTGTGTTCCTTGTATGTAGGACACAAGCTTTGGGGCTGTCTGTGGCAGCCCTGACCTTAGGGTTGGGGGTTTTCATTTCCTTGCCAGTGGCAATGGTGGCATCACCTTCCTTGATTGGTTGGAGAAGACTGGATGGCAAGCTCTCTGACCTGCTTCCTCCCAGAGCACAGCCAAGGGTAGACTTGAGGTAAGCAGCACTTGTCAGACAGTGCCAGTGATCAACAGCCCAGACCAGCAGAGGACAAGCCTGGAACTGCCTAGTCCATCAGACAGTGTAGATGCACTGCAACCCACTCTGAGGACTGTCCCACCACTTCACAGTGCTCAGGGCCCCAGTGCTCCTCTCTAATATGTCTGTCCTTTTGGTTGAAGTTGTCCTGCACTCTTCACTACTCATGTAGTATGCTGAGGGCAGCCTTTGTCCTGCTACACAGGACCTAGAGGCAGGGACTACTGGTCTACCCAGGCCTCCTGAATGCATATCAGCATGCCCTCCAAGACATTAAGAAAGAGATGATGGGGTGCCTCTCCCTGAACAGTAGAACTGTCTCAATCACTTCTGCTATAGATAGCAGTCCTGTCTCACCAGAGTAACTGTGAGCTTCTGGGGATAGGAACCACATCCTGGAGTTCCCTGGCTCTTCCATGGTGCCTGGTGGGGTTGGGTATAAGCTTGGGAAACAACTCTGGGCTACAGGAGAAGCGAGAGACAACAGAAACTGGCAGCAGGGTCAGCCCCATGCTGGCAAAAACATTGATTCTTCTATCTGGGAGGAGACACAGCTGCTATCTCAGTTCAGGTTACTCAATGGTTCAATCTGGAAAGGTTTTGCCTCCAGGGACCAGCTGGCAAACCCCAGAGACATTATTCTGTTATTACAGCCAGGATAGAAGGAACTATGGGCTTCCAGAAAGCAGAAAAAGGATACAGCTGAGCATCTTTGAGATATGGGGCAGTTCCCACTACACAAAACTACCCATCAGCCATGTCAGTGATTCAGAGGCTGGGAAAGCCAGAGACACACTCCCCTTCGGTCTCTCAGGCCAATGCTGAGACTTGATTTGCATATGTGTCCCTAGGCACTCTGGGATGCACAGAAGAGGACCAGAGAAAGTTATTCACTGGCCAAGAAGCCAGGGGTGGGACTCAGAAGCACAAGTATGAGAGGGACTTGACCCCGCCTGTCTGGAAGGTCACATCTGCACATGAAACTACTCGGCCTGACCTAAGCGAGGGTCAGGAGGCTGGAGGGATGCCCTAGTATTATGTAAGCTGAAGCGTTCTCTCATGGTGCAAAGATGCTACAAGATTCCTAGACTTCAGCCCAAGGTTACATAAGCAGGAAACAACTGCTAGAGAGAAGGGATGCTGGGGTGGGACTGACCACAAGTTGTCCAGCACGGGGACATCTGTGCCTCATCTGTGCTGGGTGGGCTTTTCAGCCAGAAAGCTCCCTTTCTGTCACCCACGCTCCTGTAAGGAACACCAACATTGGCTCACCAAGCTGGACTTGAGTGGAATAATTTCTTCAGTCTGTTGTTGGTGCCTTATGCAGGGTGACCAGGTATGCCCACTTCCCAGGAAAGGGTATGGGAAAATCTGCTCTCTGAAGCACTGGGTCCCTCTGCTTGCTCTTGGTGACCTGGGGAGAGGTGTACTGCCATAGGGATGGCAAAGGAATGGCCTCTGCCAGAGTTCTGGGGATCTGAATGAAAAACTCTGATCCTCATGCTCACGCAGCAAGGCCTGTATTTCCTGGAGCGATGTCCCCAGTCCCCTTTATAGTTCATTAGTGGAACAGTTTTAACTAGAAGCAAAGTTGGACACTTTCTGAAATGATAGATCTGCGAGGAATCTGGGATTGCACAGTATTCCCTGAAACAAACCAGTATATTTTATAATGAGAGGCCCTGCAGGAAGCATGCAGAAATATGTCTCCCTGGGACATTAGCTTGATTAATTAGAAACAGTCTTCAGCTGGACTCACCCGGCACTGGGACAATTTCTAGGTCAGAGTCTCAGGGACAAATGACACAGGG